GAAAAGTGACTCTTAACCTAGAATTGTAAATGAAGCAAAACTATCTTTCGGGAATATATTTTCAGACAAAAATTGTATCTACAGGGCAATTGAGAAGGACCTATTCTAAAAAATTGTAAAAAGATGTACTTCAAACAGGAAAATGTGAACTTAACAGAAAGATTGCTAAGCAAGAAGAAATAAAGAACAAAGAAAGTAGTAAACATCTGGTTAAATCTAAGTAAACACTGGCTACATAAAAAAATAATAATATTTTTTAAAAGTTGTTAATGAAATATTAAAATACTGATATGTAAGTGGGAAATGGGCATTTGAAGATTCTTGTATTGTTTGAAAGGAGATTAAATATATTATTTCACTTTAGATTTAGTTAAAATATGCTTCATAAAATGCCTAGGACAACTACAGAAAAAAATAAAAAATAGATTAAGCCTTTCAAATCAGAAAGGGAACAAAATTAAATGATAATATCCTGAAATAAAAAATAAATAAATAAATAAATAAAGCTGATTAATTCAAAATAAAAAAGAGAAGGTGGGGAATAGTAGAAAAAGCATGTAAAATTTGGGACAAATAGAAAGTATAAAATAAAATGCTAGGAAGGAATCCCAACTTATCAGTAAACAAAATCAATGTAAACCAGTTAACACTAGATAAAAGATACAGTTAGTCAGACTGGATTTAAAAAATGATCTATATGCTATTTATAAATATCTAAAACATAAGGATATAGAAAGTTGACAAGTAAAGGACTTATTTTTTAAAGTTACCCCAAGGGGAAAAAAGGAAAACATAGGCAAAATAAAGAATTTTTCAGATGTAGAAACAAAAGGAAAACCACAGGCAAATATTAAGCAAAAGAAAAATCATTTGACCATATTAATATGCAAAGAATGAACTTTCAGACCAAAAACACATTACTAGAGATAAAAGGCATCATTACATGGTCACGTCCACTTCATCAGAAGATATAAATTATAAATTTGCATATATCCAATACATAGCCTGAAAAATGATAAAAACTCAAGGAGAAATTGACCAAATTATTAGGAAAATTGTCATGCCCCTTCATTGTGAGAGATTGTAAAATGCCTTTGTCATTGGCAAGTCAGATAGACAAAAGGGTTCAATATAGATGCAGAGGATTTGATAATACATTTGACTATCCTAATCTAGTTGACTAAAAAGGACACTATATCTAACAAGTGAAGGATTCACATTTTTGAGAACACATGGAACAATTTAAAACATTGATCACCTAGCTATCTTTCTGACCACAGGGCAAATAAGATAGAAACCAATAGTCAAAAGATAACTAGGAAAACCAATAATTTGGGAAATTAAAACACTTTTTAAAAGCTCATGTGTTAAAAAGAATTCATAATGAAGATTGGAATATATCTAAATACTAAGTAATAATAAAACAACACATATCAAAACTTGTCAGAGGCCGGGCGCTGTGGCTCACGCCTGTAATCCTAGCTCTTGGGAGGCCGAGGCGGGCGGATTGCTCAAGGTCAGGAGTTCAAAACCAGCCTGAGCAAGAGCGAGACCCCGTCTCTACTATAAATAGAAAGAAATTAATTGGCCAACTGATATATATACAAAAAATTAGCCGGGCATGGTGGCGCATGCCTGTAGTCCCAGCTACCCGGGAGGCTGAGGCAGAAGGATCACTCGAGCCCAGGAGTTTGAGGTTGCTGTGAGCTAGGCTGACGCCACGGCACTCACTCTAGCCTGGGCAACAAAGCGAGACTCTGTCTCAAAAAAAAAAAAAAAAAAAAAAAAAAACTTGTCAGAAAGGTCTACAGATGCAATTAGACCATTTAGCTTTAAAATGATACTATTAAAAATAAGTCTGAAAAGTAATAATTTAAGCACCACACTTAAGAAGTCAGAAAATAGAATAAACCCAAAAGAAAGCAAAGAAAGGCAATAATAAATATAAGAGCAGACATTATTAAATTACAAAGGTAAATCAATAAATTTTGAATGAATTTTTAAATAAAATTTACAATCTCTAAGAGACTTTTTAAGATAAAGGAGAAAGATAAAACAAAAAATAATACAAAAAGAGGAACAGAACAAAAATTGAAAAGAAAATAAAAGAATTTAATAACCGACTTCATGCCAATAAATTTTTAAACTTTTTTAAATGGGCAGATATCAAGAAAGATATCTTTTTTGCTCAGAACCCTTACAGAATCTGAATCAATATTCTAAATTTTGCACAAAGAAAATACCAGTCCTGAACAACTTTATAAGTAAATTCTACCAAACATTTAAGAAATAGAAAATTTCCAGATTACATAAGCTCTTTCAGAGAAACCACAAGTAGCAAGGAGGAAGGGCAGCAACATTCTCTACCTTGGTTTATGAGGCTAGTATAATACTGACTTCAAAACCAAACAAGGACAGTGTGAGAGAGGAAAATCACTGGCCAGTCTCTCTTTTGAATATATTAATAGATACAGAAGCCTAAAATGAAATCTTAGTAAACTGAATCCACAATGCATTTTAAAAGGTATTTTAAAAAGGTATTGCATAATTACCAAATTGAGCTTGTTCCAAGCACACAAATTTGGGTCAATGTCAGATGATCCAGTAATGTAACTTGCTGCATTACAGGTTAAAAAAAGACAAACCAAATAATCATCTCACTAAAAAACAGTGTTAGACATAGGCCTTACAGATCTGCAAAGTAAAAAACATAGACAACATATGAGAAAGGAAAAGAAGAAACTTATTTGGGGATGTGGTAAAAGCTATAGATTCATTTTGATTCTGTAACTTTAGAAAATATGCCCTGTGTAATGGACATATTCTTTGAATACTTGTCATGGGTGAAATAAACAACTAAATAATTTTAATAAAAGAACTTAAAGCACCAAAAATAAAATATATATGATATCTTTTTTTTTTTTTTTTTTGAGACAGAGTCTCACTTTGTTGCCCAGGCTAGAGTGAGTGCCGTGGCGTCAGCCTGGCTCACAGCAACCTCAATCTCCGGGGCTCAGCGATCCTACTGCCTCAGCCTCCCGAGTAGCTGGGACTACAGGCATGCGCCACCATGCCCGGCTAATTTTTTGTATATATATTTTTAGTTGGTCAATTAATTTATTTCTATTTTTGGTAGAGACGGGGTCTCGCTCAGGCTGGTTTCGAACTCCTGACCTTGAGCAATCCGCCCGCCTCGGCCTCCCAAAGTGCTAGGATTACAGGCGTGAGCCACCGTGCCTGGCCTTGATGTATCTTTATTAAAATAATTACCTTCCTTTTCTCATTTTCCCTTAAATCAAAGTCTTAGAAATGGCCAGAAGGAATAGGTTTTAAAATCATTTTTGCAACCTTCCATACAACCATACGTCTGAAAACACATTTCAGGTCACTTCAAATAATTTTCAGCATAGTTTACAAAAATGGTACCCATTTTGAACCAGCTGTCCAAATGGATATTCAATAAAAAGCTAAAATACTGTGAAATTATTAATACAAAATTGTAAAATCTATCTAAACTGAATGTTGCATATGTACTTTATATATCCCTCCTTTTTCATCCCAAATCAAGAATTTTCTAGGAAGACTCTTTTTGCATGTTTCCATCACATGTTTAATATTCTTTTCAAGTATCCAGTTCTATACTTATGGAATCAAGTGTTTACACCAGGGTTTCAAATAATCACACAGCATCGGAAAACAATTTTGCTAATCTCTACTCTTTTTACACTGGTAAACATCAAGTTGAGTGGCCAAATATTGAAGCAGACAAGGCCCATATTCCAGACCCTTCATTTTCCAGTTATTCACAAACTAGAGCTCCAACAACAACTGCATATTGTCTTCCTCCAGATAATGAAACTGCATCCATAAACTCTGGAACTATAAACTGAGAATGGATATTTTAATAAGCACCAGTACACTTATAAGGGCTCTCATTCTGAAGCATGTTTCTGCATCACAGTTGTTGAGTCTATTTTTAAGAACGGTGGAGAGTCTCACTGCACTAATGAAGTAGGTTATAGAGCTTTCTGTGGTGTTTCCCTCCTTCTACTGATATTTCCTTGATAATCTGAAGGGAAATCAAAGGGAAGAATAAAGCAGCAATGTGTTATTTTAAAATGTCAAGTCATCTAAATGGTAGATTAATTTAGACACCACAGCTTTGAACCATTTTCCACATTTTTATTTAAGGAAGATGCATGCGATAAGAAAGATAAGGCTGTAATGTTAGTCACTGGGGTGGGTTAGGCAGATCAAACTAGCTACGGCAGAGGCTTCAGTGTCCATCAGGGACCTTGCAAAGCCATGTATGAGGACAGTTAAAACTCCTCCCCATTCCGAGAAGGCTTATTCTATATCGAAGGCCACAGATTAGCTGCTTAAATACAAAAGAAAGAGATTTATATATTCCAAGAATAAACTGAAAGAAAAAACAAAATAATAGCCCCAATGCATTAACAGTAGAAGTCAAGGAAATATTTTGAAGTTTAAAACTAAACTTTAATCTGCGAAATAGAATATAGGTGTCATCAAGAAACAAGAATCCAGATATTGAACATATCATAGATTAAAGAATCTGATATTTAGAAAAGGCAGTTCAAATACAACTAAATTGGACTATACCTTGCCCACCATCCCATTAGTTTGGTACATTCAACAAAGATGAATGGCATGGTTTTCTGCTCCTGAGAAGAATACTGCCGAATGAGACCAAATTTTGAACACAAAATTGCCAGTAATGCAAGGGAATAAGTGCCAGCCAGGCATGTATGAAGGATGTGGGAGTGGAGGGAAGGTGGTATAGAATGCGGTGTGGGGAGGTAGGGAAAGGGTCACCTAGAAGAGGACTTGCAAGCCTGGTCACTAAGGATGAGGAAAAAGGCAATGAGTAGCCAGGTAGAAGTTACAGAACATGGATTAAATAAAGCCATCTTTCAAGCACATTTCCAAAAAATAGTGACTGGATTCATAAAGCATCTGCTTTCTCTTGTCTCCTTCAGTGTTTACGTATCCAGAGAATGGCACTGATGATTTCAGAGACCAAGCAAAGAACATAAACCACCAGGTATTTATGGATGTCACAGAAGACGACTCAGAAGGAGTCCTTAGACTGAACTGCAGGTCACCACCCAAGTGGGTCATGAAATCAGTCTAGTGGGTCCCAGACCAGCATTTCTAGAGAATAGAATAGAATAATGGAGCATAATATACCACAACATAGATATCACGGAATAAACAGAAATATCACAGTGCATAAAAGATAAAAAGGATAAGTATTGTATTGTGCACCTTTTGTTTCTGCATACAAATGATATGCAAGTAGATATGTACTATTAATGTGTAAATTATAGAATTATATAATATATTATGACTATATTTCATAGTAAGTATATACTTTATGTTCATATATATGTATAATTAGAATAGAATAGGATGAAATAAAATAATATAAGCTACCTGACCATTGAATAGCAGAGTGAATCATAGGTTAAAAGGATACTTATAGTTGTGTGCAACTTTTGTTTAACTTTTCTATACATAAATAGCATATATTTATTGTATTATTATATATTTATATATTATGCAATTATATATTACATGATATAGAATTTTAACTTATTTATTATAAAGTATAAATCCTTTATTTGGTTAGTAATCATTGCTAATATTTATATTATACTCACAAAAATCTTTTATAGTCTGTAAATTAGGGACAACAATAGAATCTACCCAACAAAGTTGCTGTGAAATTCAAGGATGCTAATACATGTAATATAATGTCTGGTACACAGTAAACTGTCAAAAACGGTAGCTTTTATTATCACCACTGTAAGATTTCATAGCCAGTAGATATAACTAAATCAGTCTGATGTAAAGTCTATGCTTTTTCCTTAACATAAATGAACTATTAATAATTGCCAGATGAATACATCTGGTTCCCTTTTATATGCTAGGTACTGACATTTATTGATAAACATCAGTAAAAAAGATTAATTGATAAAAAGCTAATTTTAGAAAGTGAGAGTTGTTTATAGCTATTCATGTGTCCCTATCTCTTTAGGGAAAATATTTCCATTCCTAGGGTCAAACTTGTATTAATTTTCATGAACAATGACATCAAAGAAAATATATGTGAAGAAACTTACAGTATTTCTGAAAATGAGCTCCAAATAATTGTTTTTGAATGGTTTGTAGTAAAATCAAACTAAGTTGAGAAATTAAAAATAAACCTAAGTTTGAAAGGAAATCTTTAATAATAGATATTTTAACACTTAAGAAGCATTTCCCATTTTCTTTATTTTTTCAAGTTCTTCCTCCTTCCTTTTCTCATTTTTTAAAAATTTTTTTTTTAGGGACCTCTTTCCAAAGACCCATTACAGATGAACACCTACGTTGCCTTGTACAAATTTGTACCACAGGAGAATGAAGATTTGGAAATGAGGTAAAAACATTAAAAGGATGAAAAACTATTTAAAGTCAATATTTTTCCATGTGAAAAAATTCCATTTGTGCCCCTCCTAATGCTTTAGAGCAATGATTCTCAAAGTTTAGCATACATCCAATGACCTGCAGGGCTGGTTGACACACAGATTTCTGGGCCCCATCCCCAGTGTTTCTCATTCAGCTGGTCTGGGGCAGGGCCTGAGAGTCCACAGTTCTGATGAGTTCGCAGAGGTGCTTTGGGCAGTACTATTTTAGTACTAAAACCTGATCAACGGAGCTGCCAATGGGAGTTTTCAAGAAGGTTAACCATCAAATGCACATGGGGTCCACTAGGGAACCAAAAAATGTATTTAATCCTCAAGTTAACATTGACGGAAGAATCAAACTAAAACTATCAAGGCCATCTAGGAACCATCCACTCCATAGTAATTGAAAACACTGGGGAGCATAAGGGGAATTTTGTGACAAAATCTGAACCTTTCTCTTGACCACAGCTTGAAGTTCCTCAGGTTTCATGGGCAAGCTGGAATCAAGCCTGGGTTCACATCCTACTTATTGTGTGACCTTTAACAATTTATAAACATCTCTCTACTCTGATTTTCTTACTCATAAAAGAGTAATAATGACCTCTTCCCCTTGAAGAGGGGAAGTATTTGTGAGGCTGAAAAGAAGATGCACATAAAGCACATAGGTCATCATAAACGCTCAATAGTGGGTAGTTATTATAATTTTTTATGATGGGATGTTCACCGGCCTATCCCAAAGAAAAGGCTTTTCTACTTTCCTCCATTCATGACCCCAAAATGTGACCAATCTCAAGAAAAGGCTCCATATTTTTCCGTCCTAGAGCAGGATAGAAGAGGCTGCTTTTCCAGTCAAATAGGCCCTTGGAGATTGGCTCTTTCCTCTTCTGAAAAGAAAGGAGAGATAAATTAGCACTGAAAAATGGTTTAATTGCCACAGCACTGGGGAAATAGCCTCCATTTGGAGGAAGGCCTTGCCTTTCCACCCAGGAGCTATTAAATGCCTGAGCTTTTCCACATCTTCAAGCTTCCCAGTCATGGTTCCTGCCTCAGTGAAATCAGCCTCCTCCTCTTCCACTTCCCCAAACCCCCTAGAAAAGGAGAGCATCATGGAATGGTTCCAGTTCAACCCTGTTTCCCGGGTTCCATATGCCACCGGGATCAACCCCAGCAGCCCCACCACCCCTCACACTGGGTCTGGGATCCAGTGAGACGTCATGGCAGATTTATTTAACCTGCTGGAGTCTGGCAACTCTCCCTGGTTCACACCCCAAGGTCAGCTTGTTTCAGTCTTAGTCTGAGATCTGCTGCCTTGGGTCTCACTTGGGTCTGAGTCTTGGGTCTTTCCAGGGCAGAGTTCAGGGCTTGATTCTGGCTCCTTAGTTTTGCTCAGACAGTTAAGCTCTTGTGCATCTGAGCTTTTTCTCCATCGTTGAGTAAAATTGTCCTGCTGAACTCACCGGCTGGAGCTGTGACCATTTCCTGAACAGTTCTGGTATTATTGGTGCACGAGGAGGAGATGGTATTTACCAAGTGAAGCCCTGTTCTGTTAGATATATGACTTCCCATGAGTCAGGGCAGAGCCTGCCTAGGATTCATTGCTAGGATGGTGCCATACCTTCAGCTGACGGTCCACAGCTAATTAACTACCTGCTGATGGACACAAGGATGATATATATTTACTCTGCAGTAAGTATAGTATATTGGGTCCTTTTTGAGAGTGTCACTTGGGTATCTAAAATTGAAGATTTAACAACTTCCTATTGCATGGGTCCCACAGTTGAAGATTATTCTGAAGTCAGCAAATTTAAAAAAGAAAAAAGCAGTTGCCGAGAAATACAGAATGTTACTGGGATACTGAAGATTGATGTTTAACTGCCTGGTGGTCGTCGTAACTTTGTGTGGTTATTTTAGTTGGTTGCAGGCCATTAAAAGTCAAGTTGTCTGGTCACGTTTACACGTCTGCTTTGAGGCAAATAGGACTATTCATTCCCAGGAGTGAAATGTCTGTATCACATAGACTGCAAGATTGGAGTGATAAATCGCTCTTTTTTGTCCCAGGAGATTGTAGGTTCCCATTTTAAAAGTCAGGCGCATGATTTAGAATGTGTAAAGCAATCCTTTGAGGATTTGGTATCATTTCTTGAATGAACTGGGGCTTTGTGAATTATCTTTTTCTCCTCAAACCATAAGGCAAAAAAAAATTCCTTTTAATAAAATACGATTTTAAGCACCTGCATTCTGATCCAGAGGGGAAGCACACTGGGTATGGTCCTCAGGAAAGAAAACAAATGAAATGAGAGGACAGGGAGTGTTAGGAGTGTGACCTTGAGGGCAAAGAAGACCCAACAAGCAAAGCCAATGGTCGTAAATCAGAGCAGATGGAGCATCGCTTCAGCAAGCATTCACTATCTATCTGCTCAATAATAGGGAAAGCTTTTTCTGCCAGAGGCTAATGATCCAGACTTCTCACCAAACATCAAGATTCACCTGCCCACCTGCTACTCCCAGCAGTGGGTGGAACACAGCAGCTCTACTCTCCTCCCACAAACCTGCCTCTTAGAGTAAATGATGTCACCCTCTGCCCAGGCCTCAAGCCAGCCAGGGAGGCCTCCTTCTACCTTCTGCCCAAAACGCATTTGAGTAGGAATTTGCCTAAAATCTACTGCATCCACCCCCACCTTCATCTCTTGCCTGGATTGTTGTAGAAGACCCTACCTGGTCTCTGTGTTCCAGTCTTGCCCCCAATTCCTATCCATTATGGGTGGGGAGTATGCTAAGGTAACTCTGCAGTGTTCTGGGTTTCATCTGAACTTTGGAGTCAGAATGATTCATTTCCCTGCTCCTCTACTTTCTAACAATAGGGTCTATTGCCTAACTTTCTGTTTTCTCATCTTGAAAATATGAATTATAAGGTCTGCTCTTATAGGATGGACATGATTAGATAACAATATCCCATGCACCACAGGAACTTAATAATGTTACTTCCCATCATTTTTTTTTCATACTCCAGAAGTAAATAGGAGATGCTTCCTTTTCAGAATTAAGAAATGAGGTGGGGAGAAAAGAGAGATTGAGAGAAAATATCAGCACAGAGTCACTGAATGTTTAAGAATAAAAAATGTCGCCATCCTTGTCCTGGGTTTAAGTCCTAGACAAGCCATTTTCCAGCTATGTGACCCCCCATAATTCCTGGAAAAGTTACCCAAGCCATTTGAGCCTCTGTCCTGGCTTGTAAAGTAGACAATCATTGTGCCTAACTTAAGTCTGCTCAAAATTCTCCAATAGCTTTCCATTGCCCTTGGGTACCATCCAGAACATTTGCTGGGGGTTCCAAGACCCACACAGTCTCATCCCTGGTGGCCTCTCTGATCCATCCACACTGGCCTGCACTCTGCCCCATTCTCCTGTCCACCACCACTGCCACATCCAACATACACACGTACACACACACTTACGCTCATCCAGTTGACTATTATTCATCTACTAGATCTCAGCTCAGATTTCATTTCCTTGGTGCAGCCTTTCCTGTTACCACCTGTCTGGGTTAGATTTCCCTGTTACATACTTTCATGATACCATATTTCCTTTGTTCAAAATATTTATCTCAATTTGTATTTATATATTTCTAGACTTATTTGGTTAATCTCTCTCTCCTGTAAACTCCATGAGAACAACTCTGTAATTATTAACCTTTATATGTCTAGAGCATGAGTCGGTCCTTGAAACATAGTAGATGCATAGTGGACAATAAATATTTGATAAATGAATGAGTATTGTGGAGATTAAACGAATTAATGCTGTTCCTGGCATGTACAATTAGTGAGCAAATCGAGTCTATGATAAAATAATGGAAAGTGGCCAGGCACAGGAGCTCACACCTATAACCCTAGCGCTTTGGGAGGTCAAAGGAGGATTGCTTGAGATCAGGAAGTTGAGACCAGCCTGAGCAATAATGAGACCCCATCTCTACAAAACATAGAAAAATTAGCTAAGTGTGGTGGTGTGCACTATAGTCCCAGGTACTCAGGAGGCTGAGAAAGGAGGATCACTTGAGCCCAGGAGTTTGAGGTTGCAGCGAGCTATGATGACGCCACTGCTCTCCAGCCCAAGCAACTGAATGAGACCCTGTCTCAAAAAAAAAAGGGGGGGGACTATAAATGAGGAAGCAAACCAAGCTGAGGGGGATTAGTCAGGGCCTGTTTCCTGGAGGAGATGGGCCTTGAGCCCATGATGCATATTATTTGTGAAGAGAAATTGTAGAAGGGGAGACCAAAAGTAGTTGTGGTCCCACTTGCAAGTAATAAAGGGTTAAGCAACATGGAGGAAGCTCTGCTAGTCTTTACTGAAGCTCTCACAGCTGGGGGAAGGAGGAACCTCAGACAGGCGGAGCCGGTTGCTGGTTGCTGTCACTTATTCATAGGGCTGTGACCACCCTTCTTGGAAGTGCTGTGGTCCTATCGTTAGTCTACAAACCCTACCTGCATAAAGGCAGACACTTCACACAGTCTGTTTTGCTACGGTTTCAGTACAAAACGAACCTCTTTGTAGATTCATTTGTTGTTGTCCATCCACACCTCTGGAGTTGATGCAGACCATGAAAATTTTCTCCCTTTCTACCATCATGGACAGAGAGTAGGAGAGAGAAGGTGACAGGGCAGGAAAGAGCAATATTTGAGAGTCAGATAGGCCTGGGTCTAGTTTCCAACTCTGACACTACCTGCGTCAATTTGAGCAAACTGTTTAATTTCTTGGAGCCTCAGTTTACTCCTTACTAGGGAGATTGAATATTAAATGAGACAATACAAATAAAATGTGAGACTTCATGCCCAGTACAAAGTGAGGCACACAGTATGTTTTAGATACGTTCTCTTCATAATTTGCATTTTTTCACAATATGTTTTGTCTCCTAGTCTTCCGAACAACACTACCCTAGGGATATCTTAGACAAAACACAGTTAAAGGCTCTCTCTGG